GTCGGCAGCTCGTGGTTGCTCAGCCCAAGGTGCCATGTTCAAGCTTAGTTGCGCGGGGGCGCAGCCCACCATCCCATATGGGTGTCAAACCAGGAACCTTGCTGCTAAGAGCACATGCTCTCACCAGCTCAGCGGCAGTTCATCTCGGGTGCAGCTTGAGCACAATTCATTGGCCCATGCGGGAATCGAACCGGTGACCCTATTGCTCAGAGCTCGTGCTCTTAACCAGCTGAGCGGCTCAGGCAGCCCCCAAGCCTTTAGCTCTTGAAAGCACATTTTCCTAGTCCTTGATTTTGTACACATAAGAGACAATCTAAACTGAATAAGAACGGACGTCTCTCTTTGGAAATACTGCTCTTTGCCTCTCCCCAACTCCCCCCCCCCCCCCAGGGCAACTGATGGAAGCTGTATGGAGGGATGGAGCCATCCGGGTTGTGCAGAGAATGCAAACTCTTCTTGAGCTGACTTGACTCTGACCTCCCTAGGTCTTATCCTGACGCCGTGTGTCTTTATTGACCTGGATTGTTTCTAGGACTTTGTGTGCTAGGTCATACCAGGCACCTGTGGAAATGAAGGAGTCTCAGGTGCCTCTCAGGGAAGCAGAGGTAGTTTTCAGGAGCTTCACCTTCCTCGTTGACATATGGAGACTTTCCTTTGTTAACAAGGCAGCATAAACCAGTGCAAATGTAAGTGATCCTTAGCAATGGTGGAACCATTAAAATTATGTTTTACTGCCTTTTAAATAACTTCATGGGCCGGCCGAGTGACATGTTGGTTAAGAGTTGGCTTGGGACGCCAGCTCTGAGCAGCAGGGCCCTGGTTCGGATCCCACATGGGGGCCAGTGATGCTGCGCCCTCTACAGCTAAGATGGTGAACAATAGCTCGACCTGGAGCTGGGCTGCCGTGAGTCGCTGGCGACCACGTAGGCTGCAGTGAGGCTGCGGTGGGCTGCCGTAAGCTACCGTGAGTGGCTAGCAGCCAGTGTGAGCAGCGGCAGCCAGCTTGAGCTGCCAAGAGCCGCCGTGAGCGGCTGTCCAGTGGCCGACAACCGATCTGCCTCAGCCAGGAAGAGTACAATGATAATACCAACATGGGCCAGTGAAGCGACGTCCTCCACAACTAGACTGAAGAACAAAAGGACAGCAACTTGTCTGTTCTCCTTCCCTGATTCCCCAACACTGTTCCCCTCCCCTAATTCCCCCATAAAATCTTAAAAATAAATAAATAAATAAATAAATAACTTTAACTTAGTCTGAATATCATAGGATGAACAACAGTCAAATTAGTTTTCGGGTAGATCTGACTTTCTGTACATTTAAGAATAAGTCAGTCTTAGAGTGGGGAGAGACCTTGAAGTTATCTAGATTGGTTGTCTCCACAGGCTGCTCAGCTTGCCTGGACACATCAGAATCACCAAGCAAGTGTTGATGAAACTTTATCTTGAAAAATTTTCAATTTACAAAAGTTGCAGAAATAGTGCAATGAACTGCATTATACTCTTTTAGATGAACCAGTTGTTAACATTTTGTCACATTTGCATGCCCTCTGCTCTCCCAGCCATACACAGAGGGTACCAAAAAATGTGTACACATTTTAATAATGGAAAAACTGTATTAAAATTGTAATACAATGAATGACGCTAGCATTCATTTGATCAACGCCATCTTTTGAGTGAAAGTCATACTACATATTGCTATGTAATTCAATTCAACTTTGAAAAGTAATATGTAGATAACATCTCTTAAAATGTGTATACATATTTTTGGCACCCCCAGTATATGTAATTGTTGTAGATTGATGATGAACTATTTGAAATTACATCATGGACATCATGATCTTTAGCCCCAAATACTTTCGCGTGTATCTCCTAAGAACAAGGACATTTGCTTATATAACCACAATACAGTTATCACTTTAGCAAGTTTGACATTGACATAATACTGTAATTTAATATAGAATCCATGTTCATTTCATTAATTGTCTCAAGAATGTCTTCTAGAGCAATTTTTCTCTGGTCCAAGATCATACACATCCTGGACCAATTCCTCAGCCTTTCTTAGCCTTTCGTGACATTGACATTTTTGAAGAGTATAGGCCCATTGTTTTTTGGGTTTTTTTTTTTAAAGATTTTATTGGGAAATTGGGGGAGAGGAACAGCGTTGGGGAATCAGGGAAGGGGAACAGACAAGTTGCTGTCCTTTTGTTCTTCAGTCTAGTCGTGGAGGACGTCGCTTCACTGGCCCATGTTGGTATTATCATTGCGCTCTTTGCTGGTGAGGCAGTCGGTCACTGGCCACTGGACAGCAGCTCAGGGCAGCTCATGCCAGCTGCTGGCTGCTCACGCTGGCTGCCAGCCACTCATAGTAGCTTATGGCAGCCCACTGCAGCAGGGGCTGCAGCCTACACCGTCACCAGCAACTCACGGCAGCCCAGCTCCAGGTCGAGCTGTTGTTCACCATCTTAGCTGTAGAGGGCACAGCATCACTGGCCCTAATGTGGGATCTGAACTGGGGCCCTGCTGCTCAGAACTGGCGTCCCAAGCCAACTCTTAACCAATGCGCCACGCGGCCGGCCCGGCCCATTGTTTTGTTGACTGTCCCTCAGGTTGAGTTTCTCTCGTATTTTCTCGATTTAGGTTATACATTTTTGGTAGGGATGCCATAGGAGTAATAGTATGTTCTCCCTCTTTAGTGCATCACATCACAAGGTACATGATGTCAATTTGTTTCATTCTTGATGATGATGAATGATAGATGCCTGCTAGGTTGGTAAGCTTTTAATAATAGTCTTCCCGAGCGTTACCCTCTGAGGTGCTGCCTCGGCGAGTGTGGGGTGGCATTTAGTATTAGTTCCTTCTAAGTTCCCATGTAATTCCAAAATGAAGCCAGTTTGAGAACCACTGATCCAAGCCAACTTCCCACCCAGAGCGGGAACCTTCTCTTACCTGAAAGGTGGGCTGTCTCCCTCTTGTTTTATTTGTTTGGTTGGTTCTCTTAGTAACAAACAATTACTCTTTGGGGATTCCACCGATTTTTGGTTTCTTACTCTTGGTTGATATCTGCCTTCCTAAACTTCTGTCTGTTGATCAGAGTTCTGCCTGTCAGGGCTATCCAGAGTAGGTCAGACTTCCCTTTCACGTGATGGACTCACTTCTCGCGTTTCTCCTGTATCTTCTACATCTCAGTAGACCCACTTTGTCCTTAACTCAGGTCTCTGTTCACAATAGACAAGTGTACAGTTGGCTGTAACCTAAGCACTGGGAGGTGGTAACGGTTTTGAATAGTTCCAAGAAGAGCAAGGCCATGGAAATGTTTCTATATGGTTTTTTGCTGCTTGGAGTGTGTGTGTGTGTGCGCGCGCGTGCGCGCGTGTGTGTACACACATATAAATATAATGGATTTACATGTTGAATGGGGTCTCCAGATATAAATCGTATATAGTAAATAGGGATCTTGTTTTTCTTAGAAGTACTGACCATAGCAAGGAAAAATGAAAGTGGTCTCAAGATGGGCAGGAATGGAGAGTTTGCACAAAGACTTTGGGGAAAATTGGGGTATTTCTTCTCAGTGCCCTTCCTCAGTCCCGATTCAGTAATATGATTCTGGGAGCTCCTGAGGTGTTGTGAGCACCTGTGCTGCAATTCGGAAGGTGTGGAAGAGAAGAATTCCAGGTGGTTATGAGTCTGCGCTCCTTGGAATCCCTCCCCTTCTTATGGGTCCATGAATCAACATGGAGTGACTTCCTGCCCTTACAGTTGTCAGGCTCGAAGGGGAAATGGTAGTAACAGCTCATTGTGATGGCCTGTGTTCAATAGTCGAGGGATGTGCTCACCACACACATAAACTCAGGATTATTATAATTACCAGGCCATGTCTGGCAGGACTGGAACATAAGTAAGATGCTTCCTACACTGTGAATATGAGCGTAATATTCTGTAGAGATATGGTTAGGCCATTTTTCATATCGGTGGCAAATTTGCCTGGTAGTGATCAAGACCTTGTCTTTTTAGCAAGGCGGCTTTTGGTAGCTGTCTTCTGGCAAAAAAAACCCACAAAAAAACAAAAAACAGGGAAGACTTTTTTTATTTTTTCCTGCTGGATAGTTTAGAGTTTTACAGTTCTTCAGGCCCTCATGGCATACTTTTTACAAAATCAAGGACAGATTATTTCTGGTAATTGGGAGACAACTTGGATATAAAAGAGACAACAGTATCTACTTCAGAGTAAACAAGGTTTTCTGGATGGGAGTTTTAACAAGAATACGCTGACATGCTTGACCCTTGCTGTCATGCTAATCTTGAGATGTAAAACCCTGAGAATCCTCTTAAACTTTTCCAGTTGCCACTTGGCTCCAGGATCACTCTACAGAAAGCTCCTGTGAGTTTTTGTGGATGTCGCTGTCTTTTCATCACGAGAAAGTCAAGTAACAGCTCTAAGTTTGCTTAGGGAACTCATGCCATAGCTTCATAGGAACTGAGCATTGCAGATGGGTGTCCTAAATGGCTTGGTTGGCACAGGGAACCCCGAGGACTTACTTCCTGCCCAGCATTTCCCCGTCCCTACAGACTTTTAGGTTGACATGGAATTTGCCCCTGGGGCCCAGTTCTGTCACAGAAGACCTTGCTAACTGCCTTTGTCCGTGGCCTCGAATGCCATCTTGCACTTTCTCAGGGGCTGCTCTCCGATTTGAGCTCGGTGCTGTGTCCTCTGTTTATTTCTGTGCGTTTATCTTGCATGTCGCTCCTGTACCACCCTTTTCTGTCCTCATTTCATTTCTAAAATTTTCTTTGCTATCGTTCTGGCTTTTGGGGCCTTGCTCCCAGCAACTCTGGCTCTTTCTGGTACCCTTGGTGTAGCTGGAGAAAATGATGCAGTCAAATGCCAGGTCAAAAGCAGATGGAACTGCGTGCATGTTTGGGTAACTTCTGGTCTGTTCCTTTGAACATCATTAATACAATTAAAGCAATTGTGGAAACATTTAATTTTTACCTTTTGACCGCTGAAAGGTGCATAATATTGACTTGATGGACAAACCCGTTGATAAGCTTTGTTTCCCTAAAGTGGCAGAAGCCTCCTGGATAAATTCAGGAATCTCAAAATCTTGTGGGAGAATTATTTTCATGAGTGCTTCTAAAACAGGAAAGGGCATGGAAATCACTTATTTCTGCTCTACTTATACATTGTCAGTAGTAAAAGAAAGAGCATAATTGGAACAGGTAACAGTTTGTTTCTGCTGGTTGAAAAAGCACAAACTTCTCCTATTTTATTCAAGATTCTCCCTTTAATTTGAAGCAAATTTGGCATTAAAGGACCATGGGGTTGTGAATTGGAATTGATGGCAGTGTTACAATTTTGAATATTTTGCACCTCTCACACATATCGTTCCGGTGCCTGGTCGAGTCTTTCTTATGTAAGAAGCGCTTCCCTGTGCTCTGGATTCTGCATGTATTGATTGGTGCAGGCCTGTGGAACAGGCACAGGGCGGCCTCGGGGTCCGGGCTCCTCCGTGACTGAGCTCAGGTGTTTCCCTCCCCTGAAAATGGCTGTTGGCTGATGGCTTGAGAGTGATTTTGGTGCTCTGCTCTGTTACTTTCATTGTTGGCTGGTTGATTTGCATGCAAGAAGCTAAGCGGATGACAAAGTCTTTCAAAAAAGCTTGTGTGCGAGGCAATGGATGGTCACCCAATCCAGAATCAGAACCAGAGGGTTGACTAAATATAAATTGTAAAACCAGTTGAAGTTTAAAATGAATCAATGGCAGTGATATTATTGGCATTCGTCTGTGCCAGGGCTTCTACCCAAGGCCTGCCACGTTCCCTAGCTCACTCTCTTTGCAATCTGGAGACTTGTCCTTTACAGCACAGAGGCGAGACTGCACGTGCCAAGCAGGTGACTGCTCCCCTCTCGCGGTAACTGGGGCAAGATGTGGCTGATTGGAGCAGTCGGTCTTGCCCGTGGGGGAGCATGTCTGGATCCTGACCGACTTCTATCAATCCCTAAGTATTGCTGCTATTTTTCTCATTTAAATTTCAATGGTTTTATGTGTGATTGTCCTCGTCACATTCCAGTCACCGTTCTGATGTGATCTGCTTGTTGACTCTGTAGAACAACGATAACGAGACTGCCCTGCACTGCGCTGCACAGTACGGCCACACGGAGGTGGTAAAGGTCCTCCTGGAGGAGCTGACGGACCCCACCATGCGCAACAACAAGTTCGAGACGCCTCTGGACTTGGCTGCGCTCTACGGGAGGCTGGAGGTGGTGAAGATGCTGCTCAACGCGCACCCCAACCTCCTGAGCTGCAACACTAAGAAGCACACCCCCCTGCACCTGGCCGCCAGGAACGGCCACAGGGCTGTGGTCCAAGTGCTGTTAGATGCTGGCATGGACAGCAACTACCAGGTAGCGGCCCAGCCCTCCCAGGCTCGGGCTCAGTCAGTCGGAGGAGGCACAAGCACCGTGCTGCTGGGCTGTGGTCTGACTTAGCACGTTTCGCATCACGTGTCAGAGGCTTCTGTCCCTTGACTCATTTGACTGTGAAACTGTAGAGACAAACTCTCCAAGTGAGTCTGTTATTTTGAGCTTCTTTTCAGGGGTCATATATAGTCATTGCACCCTGAAAAGATGTGATTATGGATGAGCTCTCGAAATTGGAACAGTCTCATTATCTTCCTATACATGTGCTCCCACTGCCACTGTTTAGCACCTCCAAAGTCCCATCAGCTTGGCCTGGCCGATGGGAGACTTAGCCTTCCCCTTGGTTGGTCGTGTTCTCCTTAGGTCATTCCTTAGGCTTCGCATTGACCAAACCACCCTTGAAGTTAAGGTGTTTTTTCCCCCTCGTACGTTCCTTCTCATTATTCCTTCCACCCAGGAAGGTGGAGTTTTGAGCAGTTTTACCACTAGGTGGCTCCAAGAGTAACCGTGCAGTTAGTCACGTGTGGCCTGCTGGTGGCACATCAGACACCCTTGATGCACAGGCCATGATCGTGGTTTTGGAAACCAGACGAGAAAAATGGGAAAGATAATGATAGAGGACTTTGTGTGGTTTGTTTTAGTTTCCTGTCCCTTCTTGTCTATGTCCCGTTTGTCGTGTGAAGCCACGCCAAACCTGGGTCACTATTCTGATGACGTCCTGCTCTGCGCTCTCGTTTGCTTTCCAGACGGAGAAGGGCAGTGCTTTGCATGAGGCTGCTTTGTTTGGCAAGACCGATGTGGTGCAAATCCTGCTGGCTGCAGGTGAGAGGTTGGCAGCGCTCTTGTCTACACAGCATGCCAGGGTTGGGATTGTTTTCCCCAGTCTCCCCAGAGGGGAATTCTGGCTGGCTGCATTTGAACCCAGTGTATGTATGTCTCCACTGATTGACTGCAAATGTATGAATTGTTCATGAATATCTGGTTAAATGGCTTTGGATGAAACATGTTGGTTGTGCTGCTGGGAGCTGAAGGTATCCTGCGATTTGACCCTCGCTGAAGATGACTTGAAAATGCTCACTCCACTGTCCACCTGGTGTGCTTTTCTAGGAATCGATGTCAACATAAAAGATAACCGTGGACTGACGGCCCTAGACACTGTCCGGGAACTGCCTTCTCAAAAGAGCCAGCAGATAGCAGCACTCATTGAAGGTATCAGTCCATCTTCCCGCTGGGATGACCAGAGGACACACTGGCCAAACCAAGGCATATTTGGTGCAGCTGTTTTTTTCTCTTTCCATGTAGATCACATGACTGGAAAAAGAAGTGCAAAAGAGGTAGATAAAGCTCCCACACCCCAGCCACCTCTCATCTCCAACATGGACTCCATATCCCAGAAGTCTCAGGGTAAGATGGCTCTCCTCTGCCAGCAACGGGGCTCTCAGCTTGCAAAGAGTTTGGCAGAATGGAAAATCTTAATTTACATAACAGTTTCAAGGAGTTGGGAGTACTTAATAAGTTTGTATTCAAATTCATTTTTTTCCAACTACTGCATGAAGTTTTATTGGACATCGCTTAGGCCTTTGACGGCAGTCCTCTTCTTTCTTTACTTTATTCTCTACTTTCACAGTTGGCTCTGTGAGATCTTTTCTGGGATGTGTAGTGGGCAGGATAATCTCAAAATGAATTCAAATCTCAGGGAAACCTTTTTCTAATACACATTATAGTGTCTTGGGCAGCGTTGGCCCACAGTAAATATTGAATGAGTGTCATTTGGTTGGTTGGTAGATATTATGTATATGGCAGATTTTGGTAATATATCATTTGGCCAATATATATGCTCTGGGTGCTAGCTTAGGAGTCTAGCCTCTCTAGTACTGCCCGGATCCACCTTCTCAGATTTATTGAGCAGCCTTTTGGGTCCTAGGTATGACGAATGAGAAAGACAAAATACTGACTGACACCTTCCCCAGACACAAACCACAATAGAGACGGCTAGAGAAACAGAACAAAGCCAGGCACTAAACAGGGAAAGGGACTTTTCAAGGGAGCACAGAGATAGATTAAAGGGTGCTTGGCCTGTCTTTACTGTGGAGTCCTTGTCCTCCTCCTGGTCACACTTTTTTCCTGACCTCATAATCTACTAGTAATGGGAGGATTTTAAAGTTACAGTTTGATTATTTGCAGGTGACCCAGAGATCCCTGGTCTAGAGCAGCGGGTAATTTTGTGGTCACAAATGTGGATCTCAGGTGCTCTGAGGTTTGTAGTTACCCAGTGATTGAGGCTAACTGCTGCACAGCACCTCCATCTCAGAGGGCCTCACCACCCTCAGCTTTGCTTAAGCATGTGGTGGTTCTTATTAAGAATTTAAAGGATTACTTAAGGTTTTTAGTTATACTTTGCTACATTTTATGGCTTAAGTTTATGTTATTGAGATATTTGGGAATTTATGAAGGTCTTGGGAGGTACCCCTCATAAATATCAAGGGTTTTCCATATTGAATCAGAGAAAAATCTGTTCACTTCTCAGGGTATAAAGAGCAGGTGAAATTCTGTATATTTATTCCTGTCCAAAGAAGTCATTCATTTTCCTGTCCTGGATTAGTGTTGGTCAACCCGGGTAATTGAAGAGGCTCTCAATTGTCGCAGTGGTTGGAAATCTGAGACTGTGCTCCCCTTGCGTTGACTCTGTGGCCCTCTCCTCTCATTTTCAGGTGATGTAGAGAAAGCAGTGACTGAACTGATCATCGACTTTGACACGAACGCTGAGGAGGAGGGTCCCTACGAGGCGCTATACAATGCCGTCTCCTGCCATTCGCTGGACAGCATGGCCAGCGGGCGGTCATCTGACCGGGACTCCGTGAACAAGGAGGCTGAGGCAGCAGGAGTAGTGAAAGCTGCTGGTGTGAGGCCTGTATGTGGCCCGGGGCCCTCAGCAGCCTGGGGGGCATCCCCTGTTATCCCCTGTGCTTCTGTGGGGTGCTGGGGACAGGAAGTGTGAGCCTGGTGCCACGCCGCATGTCAGAGGCCTGGGTCCCCCTCCCCCTGTCCTCCTGGGCCCTCCCTCCCGCATCTCCCTCTTGCTTAGTGTGGTAAATGGTGCAGCTCGCATTGAGGGAGAACTTTGGTGTTTCCAATTCCAGTATAACCTGTTTGCATCTTTCTGTGATTTTTTGGCCTTAGAGCAAATTAGCACATTTTATCTCTATTTAGCCTTAGTGCCGCTCTATCTTTGGGGTCTTTGCTGTATACTGTTTGTTTTCTCTCAGGAGAGCAGTTTGGACAGTGAAAGTGCTCGCTGACATGGGTTCCTGTGTGCAGCGAACACATGCTCACCTTCCCTTTGCCCTCAAAGAATGATCCATTTGGATTTGGACAGGTTTCCGTGTTTGACAGGGTGGTAGCAAGGTTTAATCAGACATTGCACGTATTAATATTAGTATGTGGCACTCCTGCTTTTCCCAGTTAGAACTCCTTCAGCCGTTGAAATAACGGGACAAGGGCAGCCCTAAATTTTCCTTCTCATGCCCCACCTTCCTGTCTCGCTGCTGCTTTCTCTGTACTTGCTTCTGCTTCTGGCCTTGTACGTTGTTCTCCAGACTGCTGACCCCATTTCCTGCCCCGGGGTTTTACTGTGAGCCTACACCTGGGTCTGTGCTCCCACTGACTTCTTCCTACATTGCCGGGCACAGTAATTTGAGGTTCTGAGCACTGTGCTTTTAGTAAACCGGCCAATGCTCTGACAGGATCCCAGTGAGAATCCCACCTTGAGGCATATTTTCTTTCGTGTGTCTATTATTTCTTCTTGTTGGAGAGGCTGGCTTTTTCCTTTTGGTCTGAATCTGGCTTATGACCATTTTGATGATCCTTTGGCTGCTGCTAGATGATCTTCGGGCCTTTCAGGTGTGCCCTGGGTGTGGCCTGATGTTTCTGGGGGTTCTTTTCTGTTAGGCTCCTTGTCCTGCCCTGAAATAGACCCCGTCTTTCAGTGGGGATTTGGGACAGGCCCACCAGTCTTGTGTAGCCCACCAGAGAGGGTGTGATCAAGGACTGTGATAAAACTCGGGAGTGGCGAAAGCAGCACCTGTGCCGAGCACCATAGTGCTGCTGTAGGCAGAGCAGGTTTTTTCACTGCTTTCACTGTTAGACACACATGAACTACGCATATCCACCCATGGGGGAGGCGCTGCGTGAAGTGTTACTTACAGGTGATGCCCATTAGAGGGAGCTGGAGGCTTTGCAAGAACACAGGTTACCACTGCAGGACGCTCTGAATGACCAAGTTCCTGTGGGGCTTAGCTACTGATTTACATTCTCTTTGTTCCATCCTGTTCTGGGAATCCAGCCTCCTAGGGTCCTCCTAAGTAGAAACTGAAGTGTCTTGGGGTGCATGCTTTGCCCTTTGCACTTGAGTATATTGTGGTTCTGCTACCTTCCTGGCCTTTGGTAATTAACTGTCCTACATCCTGTAAACACAATGGATGGTATGTATAAATCAGCTCTGCATTTCCAGGCTCCGGGCCAAAGTTCTGATGTTCGAAAAAAGAGGATCCTGCCCCTCCTTCCTTCTAGTGTCCCTGGCGATCACTTCTTCCACCTAAGGCTTTCTTTCATGTTGTTCTTTTCCAGGCTACTTTAGCTGGGGGAGGCCTTTTAGGATAGGCCCTTTGTTGTTGTTGTGTTTCATTTTGTTTTTCCTCGGCTATTTGTGTCCCCAGGTTGGATAACTGGTGTAGATGATAGGCCTGCTGCTTCTGCTATTCATTCCCTACCTTACAAAGTGGGGCCCGGACCAGGCCTGTTCCTGCCCTTCCAGAGCACAGAGGGGTGGAGAGAGTGGGACTTAGTGGGGAATCTGACCTAAATTGCTCTGTTTGGTTTGAACTTATGAACCTGTGTTGAAGTTGTTGCGATTGGGCATCCACTGGGTTCCAGGGACTATGGGTATGACTGATTTATCAAGTCACGAGCTGTGATAAAAAATACGGTGAATGTTAAAAAAAAAATTATTACAGTAAAAGACACATTGCCATTAATCCCCCTCAAAATACTCCCCCTCTTTCCAAACACACTTATCCCATCATTCTTGCCACTTTCTGAAGCAGTTCTGGAAATCCTCTGTCATGAGTGCCTTTAGTTGGGTTGTCATGGCTGCTTCGATGTCCTGAATTGATTCAAAATGTTTACTTTCATGGTCATTTTGACTTTGGGGAAGAGCCAGAAGTCGCACGGTGCCAGATTCGGTGAATAAGGTGGATGAGGACATACAATAATGTTTTTATTTGACAGAAATTGCCTTGTACAAGGAGCGATGTGTGACACGGAGCCTTTCTGGTGTGATCACAAAATATGGTGAATGCTCCTGCCAAGTGCCATCCAATGGAAAGGCAGGGATCTTCAATTCAGGAAGTGGCACAGCGAACATTAATAACAGTGTGTGATAAGTTTCAACTTGCTCAGTGCAGTCAGCTGGGTGTCAGCTACGGTTGAGATAAGGTGTGTTTTAAAGTGTGCCGTTAATTATCCTCCATCACAATAAGCCTCTGTGTCACACATCACTTATGGTATGGCAATTTCTGTCAAATAAAAACATTACAGTGTGTCCTCATCCACCTTATTCACTGGATCTGGTACCATGTGACTTCTGGCTCTTCCCCAAAGTCAAATTGACCATGAAAGGTAAAACATTTTGAATCAATTCAGGACATCGAAGCAGCCATGACAACACAACTAAAGACACTCATGAAAGAGGACTTCCAGAGCTGCTTCAGAAAGTGGCAAGATCGATGGGATAAGTGTGTTCGAACCGAGGGGGAGTATTTGAGGGGGATTCATGGTAATGTGCCTTTTACTGTAATAAACTTTTAAAATTTAAACATTCGCCGTATTGTTTGATCACACCTCGTATAATACCAAACAGTGTTTTAGTAGAGAGATTATGGATGCCAAATGCTAACTAACTCAGGTAGCTCCGAAAACATAAGGAATATCTTTCCTTGCAGATTTCTCTGAGGCTCTCACATAATTCTGCATTTACCTCTGCCCTGACTTTTCAAATACTCCTGCCCTATCAACACAACAAACTCACCTAGAAGCCAGGGAACACGAGCCACTCCTGTTTCAGGTTCCCATTCCCTTCCCCATAGGAACACTGATTATCAAGCTTTGGAATAGAAACAATGTTGAAAGTACTGCAGGTCCAGTGGCAAGCCATTCTTTAGCCTTCTTTCACCAAAAATCATTCTGTGTATTCCTGAAATCATCTACCCGTGACCCCTCTTCAGTGAGTATCTTGCTCCAGGGCAGGAGTTGGCAAACCACGATCACAAACAGCTAACCTCTTTTAGTGAATAAAGTTTTATTGAAACACAGCCAAACTTAACATACTTTCTATGGCTACTTCTTTTTTGTTTTTTTGTTTTTTAATGTTATTCTGGTATATCCTACTCTTGTCAATTTTTTTGTTTTTTGTTTTTAAAGATTTTTATTGGGGAATTGGGGGAGGGGAACAGCGTTGGGGAATTGGGGAAGGGGAACAGACAAGTTGCTGTCCTTTTGTTCTTCAGTCTAGTTGTGGAGGACGTTGCTTCACTGGCCCAAGTTGGTATTATCATTGCGCTCTTCCCAGCTGAGGCAGTGGGTCGCCAGTCACTGGACGGCCGCTCACGGCGGCTCTTGGCAGCCTACGCCGTTGCCGGCAACTCACAGCAGCCCGGCTCCAGGTCGAGTCGTTGTTCACAATCTTAGTTGTAGAGTGCGCAGTGTCACTGGCCCTCATGTGGGATCCAAACTGGGGCCCTGCTGCTCAGAGCTGGCGTCCCAAGCCAGCTCTTAACCAACGCGCCACTCGGCTGGCCCTCTATGGCTACTTCTGTACTATAGGGACAGAGTTGACTGCAAAACCTAAAATATTTACTCTCTGGCCCTTTAAGAAAAAGCTCGCCAACCCCTACTCTAGGGCAGATCACTGACAAATACTATTTTAAAAAATGGGCTGAGATGAAATAGGGTTTTCATGTGCTAATGAAACATGATAGTAATCATTGAAGGAGGTGACCAAGAATAAGAGACGAGTATGAGCTTTTGCTGATAGATGGGGATGCCATCAAAGTTTGAACAGGAATTGATGTTTTTGTCCTTGATTATGTTCCTCATTACTTCCTTAATAACTCTGGTTTGTTAGAACTTTCTGACAAATTGATTCTTTTGCCCTGCTGTTTCCTCTTTTTAGAGTAGCCTGAAAGTTGAGCCACGTGTTTTTCTATACAAGAGTTTTGTGTCAGTATTATAAAGGACATTTTTGGCAAGGCAGTTATGTGTTTTCAGTGCTGCTGTTTCTCAGTGTGGTCAAGGATATGAAAGAGGCATTTATAATCTCGGCTATAAACATCAAAAGGCAAAGAGCACGCTAATTGAAGTGTGTGTGTGTGTGTGTGTGTGTGTGTGTGTGTGTGTGTGTGTGTGTGTGTGTGTGTTTGCACTCATGGGCGCATGTGTGCAGGGTTCTCCATCTATTTAGATACTAAGCCTCGAGTTTGGTCTCTCGGGAGTTCTTCACATTACCCTTTTCCATGTCCCAGGGCTAAGATAAGCGTAAACCCAAAAGTTAGATCCTTGAGAAAAGAGTGAAGTCCTTATGTTTTCTCTTCGACAGAGAGAACGTCCACCGCCTCCAGCAAAGCCACCCCCCGATGAAGAGGAGGAAGACCACACAGATAAGAAGTTTCTTCCCTTGACAACGTCTGAGGTAGAGGGTTATGGATTTGTTCCCGTCACTGAAATAGCATTTTCAAAAGTGTGTCAGTTTGTGCTTAAAGGAGACTTTGCTTTCTCATTTCTTATCAGTTTTTTGGATGAGTAGACTTGTATTGTGTACATCAGTAATCTGGAACAAGACTTCCAAAGCATCTGAATGGAGCCCTCTAGCAGACAGGCCAGTTACCATGTGCCTTGCCGCAAGGAGAATAAAGCAGCACATTTTCTCCTGGCTCCGACGGGCTAGCCAGTCTCACTTTTTGCTTTTGCACCTGTGTTGTCTTTTGAGATAAAATGTACAGTATCCCTCTAATGACACTGTTCCCTGGACTGTGTCATGTTAGCAGGCTTTGGTGGTTCTGTCTGTGCATGTTCCACTCTTCATTTCACATGAAGAATATACTCTAGGACAAACACGGAAAATGTGCGGAAGACTCAATTAGAAGAGAAATAGTACTCCTATTTCTCTTCTAATTGAGTCTTCCGCACATTTTAGTGGGGGTGGGGGAATCAAAGGTTATTTGAAAAGAATATTCCATTGTTTTAAAAAAGAAATGTTATCATGGGACCAGTAGTTCAATCTTCTCACTTAGGCTTATGAAGAAAATCATATTTTCCTTGATCTTTCATCTTCAAAATGCTCCTTTAACACTTCGTATCACTCAGAGAATATTTTTTGAGTATTTATTTTAAATACTACATAATTTCAATAGTTTATTTTGTATCTCATACAATGCCCTATAGTTCTTTACTTTAAGAATCAGCTAATATAAGCTAGTCAATTAAGCTTCATTACTGTATACCTAGAAGTAGAAGTTAATTTTTTTTTACAGTATTGCCACGGACCATCCAGTGAAACGCGTTCTTTTACTTAATATAAACACATGGAACCAGAGGATGGCTTTAGTTTAACAAAATGTATAATTGCAAGGAAGCCCTTTTAAGAGTGTAAAAAAGTCAGTATTGGAGATAGGAGACGATTTTTATGCTAAGTACAAATTCTGTTCTTATTTCTTTCTATCTCTTAATTACAAAATGCTTATTATCGTGTCTCAGCTAAGGGGTCTCTGTAGTAATTACAACCTCCAGGGAATAATACATCGCTCGCAGACACAAGTGCCTGTAGTAAACCCCTGCATGTCTTCACATAGAGATTTGCCTCATGACTTCCTTTGTACAAGGAGAACCCTGGAATACAGAGCATTTTCAGTTGGGGCTGAGTCTATGTAAATGCCTCAGACCGCCTCTTTCACATGGATGAGGAGTAAAATTCCTAATGCCCCAGGATAGGAGAAGCTCTTAAAGAAAAACTGGGCAACCAGGACTTTCTGTTCTCCCAAGGCTTTCTAGAACATGCAGTTTGGCAATAACTGTGTCAAGAGGTAGGGGAGAAAGCACCATATCACTCTCCTGGGCGGGTGACTGTCTCTGAGATACACCTCCTAGGACTTGTTTCTGAATAGCTTAGAATTCTGGGTCAGTTGGACCACCAGAGTCAGTGTTTTGCTTATTAGTGATGCTTATAAGTACATGAATATAGAGTTGATATGGTCTGGGGTTGTAGCCTGTTAATGATCAAGGCAGATTCTGTGATTCTGTGTGCTGTAGTCTTAATGGATAAGTCTTCTCTAAAAGTGAACTGGTATTTTGTTTTTTTTGGACTCTGGTCTTCACCATCTTTATTTCTTATACTCTCCTAGCTTTACTATCCTAAACTTCATCTCCAGGGAGGCATTGGCTCCATCAAAGTTCAGACTTTCGTATTTGGCAAGCAGTCTGCCCCAGTGCTCATGTCTTACTCCCGAGGCTTGTCATCGTCAGATGACCCATAGAGCCTTTAAGGGAAGCTGAGTACCTGGCTCCAGGAGAGTGTGGCTTCGAAACATTAAACACGTACATATGCATGTGCACGCCCCCTTACTGTATAGATGTTGTTGCCCACCCTATAGGCTGCGGGCTGCATGGGACTGACAACAGGCTTCTCTGTGCTCAGATGTGCTTAATGGTCATGGGAAGTGGCAGCTGCTGTGATAGCTCTTCCCAGAAAGCTGCCCACACCCCGACTGGCCATTCCATTGCTTACAGTTAGCTGGTGACTATAGTAGCTTTTCTCTGCAGCAGAAATGTTGCTTTCCATGTGGCAACAGAATATGCTTTTTTTGTGAGGGCTTTGATTTATTGCCATCCCTGGAAGAAAGGGGAAAAAAGATTAAGGAGTAATTTAGTAAAGAGCAGAATCCTTTCTGTTGAAAATCAGTTATTGCCATATTTGCTGTGACACAGGGCTTCTTGAGTGGGAACTAGGACGGCTCGAAGAAAAGCAGTTTATTGCTTTATTGTGAGATTTTAATCCCATAGCTGGCAGGGGCCACGACCAAGGAAAAAATACCACCCTACGAGTTGTCTGGGCATGAGCAGGGACTCCCATTAGGCATCTGAAGGAGGGAAAGAGTTCCAAATTGGATGGAGAAATCACATTTCCTAGAAAAAATGAGGCCAGCTTCGTCCAGAATCAGGAGAAGTGAATTTTCTGACCCTGGCTCTGCTGGGAGCTCTCTCTGTAACCTTGGGCAAGTCCGTAGACCTCTCTGGGAACCGGTTTTTGTCATCTGCCAAATGAAAGAGCTGGAACCAGGTGCTGTCTAACTGGGACTGTTAAAGTCCGGGTCCCTTCCAGCTCTGACATTTGCTGGTCCTCTGCTTCCATTTGTCGCGCATAAGAGCCAGGCATGGTGTGAACACAGGTCTGTGGGCCTGATTTCCCAGATGGAAGTTGTCAACCCTGTCCTCTCTGGGGAGAAGGGATATTATGGGCTGGGCATCCAGGCTGTCCGAAACCCGAGAGAGGCATGCTGTGTGCAGACTGCTCCACAGATCAGATTTCCAGGGCTCTGCCAAAGTGGGAGCTACGGGTATGTAAACCTGGAGAACAAAAATCCCTGCCTGGGAAGCCTTTGGTATTAAGTTGACTCTGAACAAACTGTGTAATGGTCTTTCTTGGGTCCCTTAATTGTGTTCCTATGAAGAGGCAAAGGAGTAGTAGTACAGGCAAGTGGCTCATTGTAATGAAAGAACTTTTAGCTTCAGGTGGCTTTCGGGAGGTGGAGGCTTCTGCGGTGCCTGGCAGAATTTTGGAAAGAGAATTTTGTCCTTGTGGCTCTAGGGTGGCAGCCTTGTTAACAAATGAGAGTTGCAGGCTTTGGTTCAGTCTGAGACTGCGAGCATCCGTGTTGTCTTGTTAGGCTGTAACACGGGGGAGCTGCGCCTCCAGGAAGCAAGAGTAATGAATCACAAACCTGATTTGTTTCCAGTGATCTGTGGGACGTGTCAGTGAAGGGGGAGGTTTCTGTGTGTGCCAAAGACTCAGGTTTATAAGGAACCATTATTTGTTAGGTGGAACTGGGGATTCTCCTTCACCCTCGGCTGTAATGTATTCCTTGTCCCAGCCAGATTGCGCAAGAAGAGATTTTGTGCTTTGGTGTCTTCTCCTAATAGCTGGAATGTGATTATTCTTAATTTGCCTGTGAAACACATTGGAGTCTTAGGACGGATGAGCCAAAATTTCCCTCAGAAGCCAGGCTCTGCATTCTCTCTCTCTCAGGGTGGCTGTAGCCTTAATCCTCATGTTTCTGGCTTGGTTCGAACTTGGCCACTCTGGCGCCATGAGTAGTGGCCACCAGGCCCTCAGCTGACTCAAGCCGGTTGGCAGGTGGAGGCACCAGTTCTGGTCCAGTTACTTCATCAGAGACACGTGCTGCCTGGATTAGGCTTTCTCAGCACATGGAGCTGCGTTTTCTCCACTGAAATACGCACTGCCTAGACACCTGACTGTTTTCAGAACTCACACTGGTGGAATCACAATTATATTGTCACCAGTGTGGCAGGATGCTAGCTTTTGGGACGTTCTTCCCTATAACCCCCAGAACCTGCGAAGAAAGGCTCACAAAAGCAGAAGATTCACAGAGCACTTGGCGGTAAATGCCCGTGACTCGGGGTCAGTCAGAGCCATTCTGACTCCCGCCTGGGCAGGTGGGAAGGATTCCAGCGTTAGGGCAGGATGTGTGCATGTTAGGAAACAAACGTGGAGAAAGAGGCCTCTGTACCCGCCTGGGAAGCCGCAGCCACAGAGAAGAGATCATGCAGACGCTATGGAGATGGGAGGGGAAGGGAAGGGCGTGCCTTGGATTTTATTTGTGGTTTTTTGAAAGATAAAATGAGGTAAGGAAAAAAGGGGGGGGGGGTTTAATCAAAGGCCATTGAGATGTGAGGTACAGGCACATATCTAGAAAAGCAGCTCCATGTGACCCGCGAGTTACTGACCTTCTCTTCCCCTCGGTGAAAAAGGAACCAACAGCCTCAAATTTGTTCGACGTAACCTGTTTTGGTGTTAGCCTGTGGTGTTTTATCTCATAGGCCTTGGCCCTAAGACCCCGGACTCAGGGGAGGACAGCCAGGGAGGAGGACGAGCACCCTTATGAGCTCCTGTTAACAGCAGAGACAAAGAGGCTGGCGTCAGTGGACGGAAAAACAAAAGGTACGCACCTCCCCCACCCCTGCAGAAACAACTCCGAAAGGATTTTTATACTTTGTCATCCAGGATGGAAGGACATGATTTGATGCTTCTAGGGATGGGAAGTGTGGTTCCCTGGCAGTCTGGGATGGTGGCTGTATTATGGCCTTCCTTTCGTTTTCAATACCCTGGGCAGGACTTGGTTGCCACCTGTCCGCACATGAAGCAAGGAAAAGGTCAGGTTAGACTAGGTGAGAGCAGCCAGTATTGTGGCAGAGACTGATTTGGGGTCTCAAGTCATAAACCCTCAAGTTAGTGCTGTGGAAAAACAAGCCCAACAGGTTGGTCCCTTCGGGTTCAGGCTGACGGCACAGACTCCGCTTTGAGTCCTGACCTCAGTGAGGCACTCCTGGGGCGGGGCCCGTGATTGGCTGCTACCAGGTAACTAGAATGCTCTGTCGCCTTGGCCTACTTTCATTGCCTCTGCAAAATTCAGTTTCCTCTGTGAGGGAGTGAGTGCTGCAGGACCGAGAACCAGCCAGGCGATGTGAACGCAGCCAGGACAGAGGTGAGTGTGCGCTGCTGGAGAGGCGGCGGCCACCTTTGTTTTTCTTGGGAGGAACACACAGGGGTGATGTCGTTTGAGGGAACTTGGTGGCCTCTCCTCAGCTCTGTAGCTGCAGGGGCCAGGGTCTTCACGGGGTGTTATAAGTGCCTCCTTTCAGCCCTAAGCTAGTCCATGGTCAGGTAAGAATGGGGCTGTGATGGTTTCTTCTGACGTACCCTTTGCTAGGCCTGTCAGAAGGTAGGGGCTGGCAAAGAGAACGTGTGAGCGTGTATATGACTTTGTAGATCTTAATCTTAATAGTCCTGTTTAAAAGCTTTCTCTTCTAGCATGCAGAAACTTTGTGGTTATTTTCATAGTAGGGTTTTTTTTTTTACTTTTGCTTCATTTTGTTTTTAATGGTTTCCATTTGGAGCTTTAAAAAAGAGACTGCCATGTAGATACACTAAAATTCATCCTTTTTGTGTACAGTTCTGTGAATTTTGACAAATACGGTCATATGACTGATACCATTATCAAAATACAGAACAGTTTCATCACACCAAAAAATTCTGTGTCTCCCTTTGTAGTCACTCCTGCACCCCTCCCTTGTCCTCTGATGTCTGTCCCAATAATTTTGCCTTTTCCAGAATGTCATATAAATGGAACCATACATCGTGTAAATGAACCCTTTGAGCCTGGCCCCTTTCACTTAGCAGAGTTCATTAGAGAGTCCTCTATGCTGTTGCATATATCAATCTTTTGCACCTTTTCATGGCTGAGTAGTATTCCATTGTATGGATTTACCACAGTCTATCCATTCTGTAGCTGAGAGACATTTGCTTCATTTACAGTTTGGGGCAATTACAAATAAAGCTATTAAAACATTTGCCTATAGGTTTTTGTGTTAACATAGGTTTCATTTCTTTGGGGTAAACACTAGGAATGGGATTGCTGGGTCCTATGTAAATATATGTTTAACTTTATAAAAAACTGCCAAACCATTTTCCAGAATGGTTGTACCATTTTCCATTTCCAAAAGCAGTGTAGGAGAGTTACAGTTGCTATGTGTCCTTCCCAGTGCATAATATTGTCAAGTTTTAAAATTTTTTAGCCATTCTAATATTTGTGTAATGGTATTTCATTGTGGATTGAATTTGAATTTCCCTAAAGACTAATGATGCTCAGCATCTATTAATGTGATTATTTACCATCCATATCTCTAATGAAGGGTCTGTTCAAGTCTTTTGCTTATTTTTAAAAAGTTGGGTTGTTTGTTTTCTTATTATTGAGTTGTAAGTTCTCTCTCTCTCTCTCTCTCTCTCTCTCTCTCTCTCTTTGTTGTTATTATTGTTGTTTTGTTGTTGTATTCCTCAGTTTTTATTTTATTTTTTTTAAAGATTTTATTGGGGAATTGGGGGAGGGAACAGCGTTGGGGAATTGGGGAAGGGAAACAGACAAGTTCCTGTCCTTTTGTTCTTTTGTCTAGTTGTGGAGGACGTCGCTTCACTGGCCTATGTTGGTATTATGATCATTGCCTTCCCAGATGAGGCAATAGGTTGCTAGCCATTGGACAGCCACTCACGGCAGCTCACGCTGGCCACTGGCCACTCACGGTAGCTTATGGCAGCTCACTGCAGCCCTGCTGCAGCCCACGTCGTCACCGGCGACTCACTGCAGCCCAGCTCCAGGTCGAGCTGTTGTTCACCATCCCGGCTGTAGAGGGTGCAGCGTCACTGGCCTATATGGAATCCGAACCGGTGGCCCTGCTGCTCAGAGCTCACGTTCCCAAGCCAGCTTTTAACCAACGAGCCACTCGACCAGCCTCTTTATTTATTTTGGGCACAAGTTCTTTATCAGATATATGATTTTCTCCTAGTCTTGTGATTTGTCTTTTTAATTTCCATGACAGTGTCTTTTGAAGACCAGAAGTTCTTAATTTTGATGTTCACTTTATCCCTTTTATTCAAGGATAAGGTCACAAATATTTTTCCTATATTTTTTTTCTAGAAATTTTATGACTTTTTTTAGGCATTACATGTAGGTCTGTGATCCATTTTGAGGTTAATTTTTGTATATGGTGTGAGGTGGGTTTTTTGTTTGTTTGTTTGGCATATGGATGTCCAATTGAGCGGATTTGTTGAAAAGACTGTCCTTTCTCCATGGAATTGCCATTGCCACTTTGTTGTTGTTTCTTGGAATTGTTTTAGATATATATAGTTTCTTTCCATACAAAAATTAAGAATCAGCATGTCGATTCCTACAAAAAGTCCTGCTGGGATTTTTACTGAGTTGTTTGGAATCTATATAGCAGTTTGGGAAGAGTTCATATCGTAACTGTATCAGATCTTTCAATCACATGGTAGATTTTTTTTTTAAATTTTTCTTTTTTAGATTTTATTGGGGAATTGGGGGAGGGGAACAGCCAACTGCAGTCTTAGTTGTGGAGGGCGCAGCTAGCTCAGCTCCAAGTCCAGTCGCCATCTGGCAACTCCCAGCTGCTCAGCTCAAGGTGCCATGTTCAATCTTAGTTGCAGGTGGGTGTAGCCACCATCCCATGCAGGAGTCAAACCAGCAACCTTGTTATTAAGAGCACCTGCTCTGTCCACTGAGACATCCGGTCGGCAGCTCAGCTCAAGGTGCCATGTTCAGTCTTAGCTGTGGATGGGCGTAGCCACCATCCCATGTGGGAGTCAAACCAGTAGTCTTGTTGTTAAGAGTACGTGCTGTATCCCCTGAGCCACCTGGGTGGCAGCTCAGCTCAAGGTGCTGAGTTCAGTTTTTAGTTGTGGGTGGGCGTGGCCCACCATCCCATGCGGAAGTCGAACAGGCAGCCTTGTTGTTATGAATGTATGCTCTCACCAGCTGAGCCATCCTACCACCTGTTGGCAGCTCAGCGGCAGCTCAGCTTGGGCGCAGCTCACTGGCCAATGTGGGAATTGAACCGGTGACCCTGTTGCTTAGAGCTCACACTCTTAAGCAAGCTCTTAACCAACTGAGCCACTTGGCTGGCCCCACATGGTAGATTTTTAATTCAAACTTTTAGAGAGAGTGGAGTAAAGCACTGCTGCTTTCTGTAGTTGTTTAACAATAAATCACATTGAAACTAATCCTTAAAGAACAAGTACTTAATTAATTTAATGCTCTATTTGGGAGTAGTTCTTAGTGAGGGAAGAACCTTTAGCATCATGGAGGAGGGAGATCCCAATTTTTTCTCTCTTTGAAAAGCTTGATCTGGAACCACTACAAGACAGTAGGCTCAACCTTTGAAACGAAGAAAAGACAAAAGTCAGATGAACTTCATAAGTAGGGCAAGTCTCCTTGGCTGCCAAGTGCCCTTGGTGGGAATTTTCTAGCCCCAGATCAAGAGACCGCCAGATGAAGGCGGGAACTGCCAATGAGGACTTCAGACCTCAGATCTAGTCCTCCTTAGCTTTGGTGTCTTCCAGCTCTGCAATATTGGGCTAACTGTTGAGAGTGTGTGGTACGGGAAACAGATGTAATTGAGCCACCGCCTGTGAGGTGTGCCTGCCTCCAGGCCAGCTGCTTGGATCACTCAAAGAGCTTTCAGACAAAAGAGTTGAGACATTAAATATGAAAATCAGCCTGGAAGGAATGAATGCCTGCTAGGGTAGGTGAAAGTGAGGCAAATAATTTCCACTAATGTCATCTTAGGCAGATTTTATGAATTAATTTATCCGTTTTCAAAGGGCCGTGTTAATGAGAGACTACCAGACCTTTCAGGCCTCGTTACTATAATTCAGGAAACTACAATAATACAAAGCGAGGGGTGGGGTGGGAGATCTTTTAATTACACTTTAAAATTACATTTGTGTTAGCTCACTGGGGAAAAAAATTCAAATAATACAGAAGTGAATACAAATAAAATGCCCAGGTTCTTCTCACCTGTTTGCTACTCACAGTTCTGCCACAGGTGACCAGAGTCTGAAAGTGTGGTGTATGCTTCAGGCCATTTGCTGTCTTTATACAAAAGTGACTGTGTGAGATTGGTTTGTTTGTTTGTTTTTAAGATTTTTATTGGGGAATTAGGGAAGGGAACAGGGTTGGGGAATTGGGGAAGGAGAACATTGTAACATTGTGTTTTTCTAGGACCCATCAGCTACAGGTCAAGTTGTCCTTCAGTCTTAGTTGTGGAGGGCGCAAGCTCAGCTCCAAGTCCAGTCGCCGCTTTCAATTTTATTGGGTTGTCGGAAAAGTCATGACGCATGTTTGCGACAGGTGGCACTAGTTCATTTTTGGAAGTACTAGAGTCATTCGCATCTATGTTATTGCTATGTCATTTGACAGCTGACAGTTCTAGCTTCATTCTAAAAAAATAAAATTGAGCGATTTGGTTGAGTTTTGGAGATTTTACAAGTTGAAGATGGAAGACCAAACTGTGCATTTTTGCCATATGTTACTGTTTTACTTCCATGAAAGGAAGAACGCGCCTCAAGCTTGTGAAAAGTTGCATAAAGTT